TTATTTGTGTTCGGAACATTAGGCTGGTAACAATTCACGTTGTCTTATTATGAAAAGATCTTTATCAGCCTGTTTTGCATGGTGTTGGTTTATTTAAGTTCAACATGAATGTTCCTAGCCGAAATTTCACGTCATTCAAAATTTTCGGTTATTTTTATGACATTTTGGATTTAGAGACGAGGAATACGGTCAAAGTAAAAACCGTTTCCAGTCCTGGCCTGGTTGTATCTATGTGACTTATGAACAGTAGACGACCATTGTTGGGAGACTTGGCTTACGACTGACGCCTTGATCTTGTTTTTAGAAGACGACCAGAGACGACTACCAGACCAGTACTACCACCCCCGAGCAGGTAAACCGAGCTTGCCCAGCAGGCCAGTCCGTGGCCATTATTTTGTGACCTATCCTTTATCCAGCCTTGGCTAGTTATAAACGTCGTACCTGATTACAAATATCGCACCACACGTTATGCGGACGTAAACTATTTTCCAAACCTGTGTTCTAGACTATGAAAGCGGTTACATCAAGCGGCGGTGCATATTTGTGACATTGCAGGTCAACGAAGTCCCTCTTTACGTTCCTACCCATACCCCACAACCATACTCGTGCTTTTACGAAAGATTTACCTGTCCCGCCCATTTGCCCTATTCATATGGGCATGTCCACGGATAGCTTCGGCCCTTGGGGGCCTTTTTTTCTTGGTACGATGACCGATGGGACGATCTTACCATGCGACACCCGTTTTCTGCAGTTGGACATCATCACGACATGACCTGTTTTCGCAACTTGGGTATACACAGGCTCTGACCATGACCTGTATACAGGAGCATACACGCGCTCTTAACATGACCTGTTTAAATGGGTATACACAGGCTCTGGTAACGTCGCGAGAATCAATCTCTGGGCCGTTGTGCACTTCATGCGATGCGCACTGTGGTTGATTCCATAATTATTGTATGTTTGCACATGTGCTTACGTGGCTTATTGTCACAGTATGAAACTGAATACGTCAAAGGATAAACTAGGTGCGTCAAATTGCTGTAATTTGCGTTGGTGTCTTTTTCCCTCTTTCCAATCTACGGAGGCCAGATGCCTCCGACATGCTTGTTCAGCCGGAAAGCTTCGGCTCGCTGACTACACGGACCGATTTTGCTTTGAAAACTGACCTCGGCGCCCAATTTTAAGCCGGCTGGGGAGGGGAGAGGGAGGGGGCCACAGGCTGACTCGCACCCACCGAGACTGGAGCCACTGATACTCTGAGCCCAGCCAGCGACTTTGATTAACTCATATATCAGCCGAGCCACGATGAACTGAGCTTAACTGGGATGAGTTGATTTTCCCAGTTTCCAGTCATTGAGCGGCAAACTGAGCAGCGGAGTCGATTAATGCGCTCGGCTTTCGATCTGCACACCGGTCTGATGCGCTCGGCTTCCCGTCTCATTGCGTTCGGCTGATGAAAGGCGCGGCTGAATATTTATGTGCGGCGCCAGTCGTTCTGTCGACCGGCCTGACGATGGGCGATTCGGTCCATGTCATTCGTGTGTTAAGAAGGACGGAACTGCCACGAGGGCAAGCAAATATATTCGCTTCCAACGTGACATCAGCGCTCAAAGGACAAAGCTTGCTGGTGTAACTGTCTTGCATAATCAAACCCCATGGTAGTTTACGACGGCTATGATACGTTCCCCGGCTTGCAGGCTTTACGTTTCCCCGGAGGTCATAACCATAACGACGACCAGTACGGGGCATCCGTCGCGACTAGTCTGAAGCCTGAGGCCATCGGCCGTTACAAAGCCCCGGCCGCCACCATTGTTCAAACGGCGCTCGTGCCGCGTCCGCGGCGCCTCCGGCCCGGAGATACGACAGAGCCGCCGGCGGGCATTGTCCGCCGGCGAAATATGCCATCTCCGGACCGGGAGGCCGTCTTCAGCAGCTGTATATCATGCCCGCGGCAGTGCCGGCGGCCGAGCCGTCCCTTCGGCCAATGGTATCTGAGCAGACGGGCCCGGCCGCGCGCCGCCCGGCCCCCAGCCAGAATCTCGACGGAAATCAATAAGGCGGAAATGACGTAATCAAGTTAAGATGGCGTCTCAGTCGAGTGCAGCCGGCAAATTGCCGTTGTTTTGAGGCGAATGGCGGTTGTTTCTGGAATGGCGCTCGTTGCGGAGATGGAGAGTCGGCTGTCAGGAGACGGAGTGGCGGAGACGGAGGAGAGCGACCGCCAGAGGGGGAGGGGGCCGCGGCCAGCCGAACTCTGCCCGGCTCCGGCCGACGCCGTTCTTGGAAGTCGGATCTCATGCCTCAACACTGGCACCGGGCTTCGCCGAACGGCAGGCGGCGCCGGTTGTAGCGTGCTCCAGGCGCCGCGGCAGCTGGCGGCCACGCCGTTCAAACTCCCGGTGTGGTCAGACCAAGTTGTGCTGGAGTTTGGATTACATACGCCTAAGATATTCCGGCGCTTCTGCCATCATTGCTTTGCAGCATGTACGCGATATTTTCGCCTGACAGCTTATGGCCTTGTCTTCATTTGAAGCGTTTTTAATTTAACGACCTTATATCGGGTGTAGAAGACATCGACTTTACTTCGACGCCGTAATGGAATTATGAATAGATGCACGCCGGGATAGGTGGAGTGATAATGACTTTATACTGGAAGTGGAGCTACCTCGTGTTTTTTTTAGGCACAGCGTATGCATTCACAGATCATATCAGGCTGCCCACTAACACTTACGCGTTAAACAACAAGTGCATGAGATCCAGTTGCAGCTTTATGCGATATAAGATATACGAAATGAAGTGTTCCACCATGTGCATAAGTTTATTTATCGGGTTAAGCATTTTATGTAGGTACAGATATCAAATGGCATCTGTTATCGCATGGCATTCCATATCACACGCTATAGCAGCTTTCGACGTGAGTTAAACACGCTGTTTCCACATTGTTGGGTCCATATTTGGGCGTAAAAAAACGGTGCAATCTGCATATACCCACAGTGGAAGGCCCGTTTTAGGTCAGAGCTGAGGCAGCGCTGTGGCGGCAAGCCATGCCGCGGCGGGGGCTGACCAAGCCACGCCGCGGCGGGGCTGACCAAGCCACGCCGCGGCGGGGGCTGACCAAGCCATGCCGCGGCGGGGGCTGACCAAGCCACGCCGCGGCGGGGCTGACCAAGCCACGCCACGGCGGGGGCTGACCAAGCCACGCCGCGGCGGGGGCTGACCAAGCCACGCCACGGCGGGGGCTGACCAAGCCACGCCACGGCGGGGGCTGACCAAGCCACGCCACGGCGGGGGCTGACCAAGCCATGCCGCGGCGGGGGCTGACCAAGCCACGCCACGGCGGGGGCTGACCAAGCCACGCCACTTGTGAAATCACGTTTTGGAAGTGTGGTAAACGGTGCGAAATTAAACTAAAGTGCATCTGGAAAACGCACACTGTAAGATCATAAGTTAATTCTTAACACACAAGTCCAATAGAAGGTTCAGTATGTGATGGTGTATGTATGCCCCCCCCCCCCCCCTGTTTCAAAAGAATGTGAAGCTTCGACCACGCGTGTCAGTCGGCTGCAAGCCAACTGCATGCACGAGCATTGACGACGGACTTTGTGAAGACATTGGCGGAAAACGTGACTTTTACCACGTTTCTTGCCGAACAAAGTTATATGGTTCATGTTAAGTTTTTTTGCGAGAAATGGGAGAAGTGAGCCTGCCATTATCACTCGCCTTTCCCACCCCTTCTTGTGAGGAAACAGTTATGCTGAAGAAGTTGTTGAAGTTTTCGCTTAGATCTCACGTAATTTGCTAAGTGCGATTGCGTGAAACATTTTGCTTATAGATGAGACAGAATTGATAGCCTTATTCCTTGTAGAATAAACGGGAAAATGAAGAGACATGTGTGATATTTCGGCCGCATGCCTTAATCAAACGAATGCAGTCTGTATCATATATTGATATATATATATACCTTATTTTATATATATTTATATATATTTATTATATATATATATACATAAAGACGTATTATTACATGGAATATCGATAGTCGTTTTGATGAGGGCCTGTAGCCAAATTACCATTTCTAGCTTTCCATTCTCATGTTTATTCTACGAGAAATAAGGCTATTAATGGTGTCTCATCTATTTGAGACATATCCAAAACTACAAGATCAGTCGGCAAAAAGCAGTCATCAGACGAAGGTGCCCTTTGCACAACCGAGTGCAAAGGCGTGACTTCTAAAATAAACATGACGCCGGCATGCGAAGCCAGAGCCGGTCGGACCTCGGCGAGCCGCTGGCGGGGACCTCGGAGCGCCGCTGCCGGAGACCTCGAAGCGCCGCTGCCGGAGACCACGGAGCGCCGCTGCCGGAGACCTCGGAGCGCCGCTGCCGGGACCTCGGAGCGCCGCTGCCGGGGACCGACAGGTGCGCGGGGCTGACGCTGGTGGCGTCGCCGGCCGCCGCCTTCTCCGGCCTGCGGCCGAGCCCTCACCCGGCCGGCGGCCGAGCCCTCACCCGGCCGGCGGCCGAGCTCTCCTCCGGCCGGCGGCCGAGCCCTCCTCCGGCCGGCGGTCGAGCTCTTCTACGGCCGCTTCCGTCGGCTCTCCTCGCGGCGCCGCCGGGCGTGTCGGCCATCTTGTTTTGGTGCCAAGAATGGATGCCGCTCGTTTCCGGCGAGTTATGACCGCCGGCCGGGATGACCGCAGAGCGGCTGGGGCGATCGACGGCCGTGGAGCGCCAGGGGAGAAAAAACGCACGCGCTGAGGGCGCTCCCGCGAATGTGGAGAGAAGGTGGCGGCGGCGCGGCGGTGCGAGAATGCCTTTAGCTTTGAGGCATTGATGTCGTTTCTCCGGTGCATCGTCTCACGCTGCGACACGGTTCCACCGAACTTTGACACGCTGCTTACATGTCTCGACGATTCATGCACTCTGTCTCGTTGCTTGGCGAAGTCTGCCACCCCGGGGGAGCAGACCCGCGGCCGCAGCCGGTGCCTCCGACTCTGCCGCGCCGGTGGCCGCCGTCACGAGGGGAGCCGGAGTCGGACGTCACGCCCAGGCCCACCGGGCTGTCGGCCGGTCAGATCGATGCCGCCGCCGGCAGAGGGCGCCAGCGGGCCGCGCCGCCTGCCACAAGGTAGCGTCCTGTCGCCACCGCGGCGGGGCGGGTCACCGCCGGCCCCCTGCGGCAGCACACGGAGCGAGCGTCTGAGTTATTCTTGGGTCCCAAACGCACTGAAATACGAGAGCGCAGTGCTGCAAAGCCTCTCGGGTAGACGCAAAGAAACAGGACAGTCCACAATGACACATTTAAAATGACAGTGAGCACTACACGCAATTTAAAGGGGGCATAATCGCATGTCTTTTGTTAAACTGTGAGCTCCACATCAACGTCCTCAGCCATGCCCGCTCAGGGGCCCCCTCGCCGTACACCAACAGCTCAATCAAGGCCTGCACCGGCGTCCACAATGGAGCCGGCTGGCTGAAGCACCGCTCCGTCATTAACACCGTGTTACTGCCGTTCACACAGTGGTGACGCCGGCAGCTGCCCCCCCCCCCCCTCCCCCCCTGCCCTGCCCTCCCCCTCCGGATGTCCCTCCGTTCGGCCCGGCCGCAGTGTCGTTTTGAGTGAAGCATCCGCGGTCCGTAGCCAGGCGTAGCCGTGGAGGGGTCAGGCGGATCGAGGTAGCGCGTTGGTGAAGGAGCCGGGCGGATCGAGGTAGCGCGTTGGTGGAGAAGCCGGGCGGATCGAGGTAATGCGTTGGTGGAGGAGCCAGGCGGTTCGAAGTACTTGTTTTGATTCGTGGCTGTACATGCCATGTTTAGGCTGTTCAGGCCAGTCAAGCGGGTTGGCTAATGTTGTGCTACAGGCTTTGACGAGTCTTTCTAACGCAGCTCGTCCTTCGTACAGGAACGCATTCATCTTTAATGTCACATTTTTCATTCACATTCGTATGCTTTATAAGTAATGCATTTTATGGCTTGCGCTTGGTTTTCCTATGATTTTCAGTAAGTTAGTTGACGGTGGATATGAACCCGCCTTGTGGCATGGTATGTCATGTACCATGAGGACTCTTTTGTTAGGGTTTCTTGGTGCATTAGTCCATTTTGGTCTTGTCGCCTGTAACAAACAAGCTACAATTTGCAATGCAACTTTCATTTGTCTGTGCTCAGACGTGGTTAACAAACATAAAATCAGGTATTCTTTGGCTTAAAGAACGTCGGTCTGGCAAAACATGTTAACAGGGCCGCCCACCGTGTGTGGAGAATAGTTTATCCGTTTCTCTTTATTGTTTCTGGCCCTACCGCGGCAACGATGGCCCAGCGTCGGCGGCAGTTGCGGCGCAGTCCCGGCGGCAGGTGCGGCGCGTTTCCGTAGCAGCGGCGACGCGTCTCGGCGGCAGTGGCGACGCAGTCTCGGCGCCCCCTCCCCCCCCCCCCCACCCCCCCCGGGGCGGTGTGGGTCGGCGGCGGCGCGCTGTTGACGCCGCGCGGGGCAGTCGCCCATTAATCGCCGCCGAGGGGAGTTTATGGCGGCTGGAAGATGCACTTAGTGGGGCGGCGTGCGGCGGGGGGCCGCGTGCGCCAGCGGGAGGGGTGGCTGCTGATGGCGAGCTCGGGGCGAGGTGAGACGCGGAGGAGCTGGTCCGAGGAGGTGGAGCTCGGGCCGGCAGCCGGTGCTCCCCCGTCCCGTCCCACCCCAATGTGACTGGGGCCGGAGCGCTGCCAGTCCGAGGGTGTGAGCTGGGGCAGGCGCTCAGCAGCTGTGCGCTGATGAAGGGAGAGCGTGGCTCTGAAGTGGAACGGGACAAGTTAGGTCCCGTAGACAAGTAGCTTTGAACAACGTCGGAGGAGGAACGTAGACAGCTGCTCCACAGCTGTCCTGCACTTTTGACTCACACGCGTCAGACGTGTCGCGTGCATGGTCTAGTTAAACACCGCTACAGCGAGCAGTACTTCCAAACTATGACCATCCGCAACACAGCTAGCAACTGCTCTCACGTATGCTCAAACAGCCACCGCAAATCAGCTCTCATTCCCAGAGCGCAGCAGGGACCGACACAATGGCACCCGCAACACATCCATCCGCTTGTAGTCCAAGAGAGGCCGTTTGCGGGCCCCGTCCATCATCCTGAGTATGTCGCTTCGAGCAGCCACCAGGGCAGGGCAGACGGGACAGACAGCCGAACCGCGGCCGGCTGGGGACGACGGCCGCGTCGGCTGGGGACGGCCGGTCACGCCCCGTGACCCTGCTCAATGACGTCATTGTGCGCCGGCGGCGTCAGCGCGCGCGCGGCCGCCTGGCGCGCCGCCCGCCGGAAGGCAGCCGGCGCCGGAAACGCAGAAACGAGCGGCGACGGGGGTGTCGCGCCGACCGTACGTCTGGCCGTGTGTCTTCGCCGACGCTGGGTCCCCGCGCGATGGGTCCGCGGCCCGTTGGTACTTTGGCGCTGGACTTCGTGCCGGTGGGACCTGAGGTCCTGGAGGATGTCAGGCGGCTGCATGTCTGAAAGCGGGCCGCCGGTGTGGTGGGGCTCCAGATGGTTTGTGATCGGAACCCGCGGTGACCTCAGGTGGTTTGGCTGCGAAAAGTGGGACCCCAGGCTGGTGGGACCCGCGTAACCTCAGGTAGTTTGGCTGCGAAGAGTGGGACCCCAGGCTGGTGGGACCCGCGCAGGTTGGACAGCAGGCGGTGTGACGCATACAAATGGGTCGGCCGGCGTTTTATCCTCGGTGTTGTGCCCTCGGACACCGCCGTGGTGTCACCACCGCCTCCATGGTGGGCTCCGGATGGCAGCGAGACTTAGTGCACTGATGCCTCGGCACGTGGCGCCCCAGCGGCGGGGCGTCACGGGCTGACATAGTAACGAAGAGCTGCAGCGACGGTGCTTCGGAGATTGCTTGTTCACTCCTGGATATTGCAGTAAATGTCACCAAGTTTAGAACTTTGAACTTTGGAGTGCTATCTCTCTCAAGTTTGCTTCATAAGGAGTTACAAGATTAAGCTTCCGTCCGTTGATCGTCATGCGAAGAGCCATGCACGGCCTGCTGAGCCTGCAGAGCTGCAACATTCGCACTGGGAGCGATCCCAGCTCGCAGTGCACGCGTGGTGCCCCGTCCCTCCCAGCTCGCAGTGCACGCCTGCTGCCCCGGGCGGTGCCGTGCGGCACCGGCGGCTGGGGTTCAGCGGCGGCGGATAAAAACGGCCGCCGGCCGGCCGGTGTCGGGCGCCCTACCCGTCAGCGGTCCACGGTAATGGACTAATAATGTAATCGCCACGCGGGGGACTGTCACAATCCACCGAGTGGATCCCCTCCGCTCTCTCCGCCAGCGGCGGCAGGACCGGGCTGCTGGCGACATCGGGCCGCGGCCGCCGCTCCCTCACTAGAAAGAGGAGGGGGGGGGGGGGGGGCGACCAATGAGCCGAGTCACAGACCGAGGAGATCCGCTCAGCGGTGGGAAGCCCGCGCCAGCCACGGGCGCGTCCAGGGATGAAGCGCCTGGACGGAGGCTGACGCTTCTCATGGAGATGTTTGCGTGCGATCGGGATTTGAACAACACATGCAGCTTGTCGTTCAGGAATTATCGGGTTATTTTGTGCAACAGAGGTCACAAGCCATCTACTGTTTCCACATGGGTGGAGAACGCGGTGTGACAAGCGTGGCAGTGGCCACGCTAGCCTCAATGATGGGAGGTGTCACATCCTCACTTCTTTCAGGCCATATTAACTGATAACAACCAGGCAGGTTGTAAGTCGGGCTTTGCTTGGGCTTAGGCTAGGGCCTGTCCTGTCTCATTATATGATTAAACTTACACCCATACAAGTCAGTTTATTCAGCAGATGGATTTACCGCTGTGTTTATCCATTACCCATCGGTTGCCCATCAGTATTCATTGGCTGCCCACGTCAGTTGCAGGCATGTTCTTACGTTCAGTTTAGTGGAACAGCCTCGGCAGTTTTGGGAAACTGCACCCATCGAGCACCTAAACATTAACCGATGACAACATTAGGTGATAGCCACACTAATTGACAGCAAGATTGAGCAATTTCTGATATCTGACCCGCTCGTAGCTGGCTAATGGTGGCCCCCGTGGCCTGCCGCCTTGGGCCCGACCGCTGTGCTGACTTCATGATCTCTGTTGCAGATGACCGTGACCTGACCTCGGCCTCTGAAGAGGAGGTGAAGCGACAGCGGGTGCAGTACCCGGTCGAGCAGCTGGCCTACTCCAGTGTGAGTGACCAGCCCCGCTGCACGCAGACGCCGTCCGCTGTGGCTTTGGCTGGGTACAGAGGCGCGCTGTCGGCTGTGGCTTTGGCTGGGTACAGAGGCGCGACCATTTTCTGGCGAGGCGCCTGTTTTACCCGCTGTCGCAACGCTAATGTTGGAGAAGCAGGCAGCCCTCATCTGAAAAGTTGCTGAGCTTTGCTGTGCGTCGACACCGATTTGCTCGACTGCGGCAGACGCGACCGGCAACGCTAGCGGACTAATTCTCTTAACAATCAGTAAACGACCCACTAAAATCGGATTTAAGCGATCACGCGTGGCAATCTCCATACGAAGCACCATCGGGTTAGAAAGCGCGCGCTTCGATCGCGCCATTCTGTCGCTCCAAACGCCTACTAATCACGTCACCGAGCGGTCGCACGCCGGGACAAAGCGCGTTCTCGTCATGGCCAGCGCGCGGGTCAGAGGTCGGCACCAGGCGGACAGGCCCCCGGGGCGTCGTTGGGCGCCGCGGCCCCAGATGCGGCCGCCGCCGACAGCTCGCCGTGCCGGCGCCGGCTCCCCGGGCGTGTATAATTTCGACGTTTGCCTCGACTCGGGCCGGGACACGTCGCCAGGGAGCAGGGGGCGCGCGGCCCCGCGCGCCGCCCGGAAATGGACGCTCTGGAATGGAGGCTACAGCTTTGTTTGTTGGTTTTGTGTGTTTGGAAAAGCCTTTAGCAACCAGATGTTTCCATCACTGAATGGTTGTCAGGCATACTCAAAACAAGTGTCGTTGCCTAGGTGAGTGGACTCGTGACGTAGCGCTTGACAAGCAGGCTGCAGGTTATGTCTTTAGAGGGATGTCAAGTCATTTGTCAGCGGTCGCTGCCAGTCGCGGATCTAATTCAACCGACGTGACCCCGAGCATGCAGAGAATTCAACACAACGCAGCGTTATGAGCACGTTGTTCTCGGTCAGACCCATGATCTGCATATGGCTCAACCGAAGCCGTCGTAAAGCTTTCTGAACGCAGATAGCGCCAGCGGTTACTGGTTGCACCCTGGCCCTGTCCTATCGTTTTCCGCTCATTGTATCTTCACTGTTATTCATAATTTGTACAATTGCATTCACGGGCAAGGGAAACAAAAATTGGAATAGCAAAGCTGCCAGAATGGGCATCTTTGAATGACGGCGTGTCCAGCTTATGCCAATTGCAGTTAAAAGTTGTCTAGAGATCTGCCGCGCCTGGAACACTGCATTATCCACCCGCGATCGCAGCTAACATGCCTGGGTGTATATCAAAACAGGTGATGCGGATTCTCGACATTCACAGCGGAGCGCTCGCACGGTACAGCGCAGTGGCGCAAGTCTGCATCACCCTGCATAGCTTAAAGTCGTCTTGGAGTCATTTTTCTAAGCATGATTGACTTATATAGTTATCTAGAGCTCACCGCGCGTCCCCGCGCCACGGACGTCACCGCACGCGCCGTGTTAGTCACCGTTCGGATCCTCGTTAGATTTCGAACGCGACGCACCATGTCTAATCACGGTGCGGACCGCTCGTCGCCTCATTAGAATGCAAATTGCATTTTTGAACAGCGATGGAGTTTATTTCATCCGTCATTGGGCTCGAAATTTGCCATCCATCATGAAGCGATATTCGGCCGAAGTCGGCTGGCTCGCTGTCGGCGGCGGAACTCCCAGGCCACGCCAGAGGCCGCCTCGGCTGGCTTATGGAGGCGGCGGAACCCCCAGGCCACGCCAGAGGCCGCCTCGGCTGGCTTATGGAGGCGGCGGAACTCCCAGGCCACGCCAGAGGCCGCCTCGGCTGGCTTATGGAGGCGGCGGAACCCCCAGGCCACGCCAGAGGCCGCCTCGGCTGGCTTATGGAGGCGGCGGAACCCCCAGGCCACGCCAGAGGCCGCCTCGGCTGGCTTACGGAGGTGGCGAGACTTTAAAGCAAAGCCTGGTCCGTTTGTGGTAGACTTATGTTGAGTTTTGCTCCGTTATTGAACATAGGGGAGCTGCATGCTGTTTCTTGCGTGCTGCTTTTTTGCTGTTTTTGGTTTTCGTTTTTTTTGTTTCGCCGTTTGTTTTTGTTTTGTTAGCGTACGGCGTACAAATCAGAAATATCGCGCGACGCCACAACATAAACGCTCGATTACCAAAACAAAAAATACATAGGTGCCTGTAACTCGAGATGGGTGCTACAGTTCAATGACTTACATCAAGGCTCCACTTATTGTACGGTGCAAGTGGTCCACTCCACTGGAGTCCTTGAGATGGCTTTGGGGTTGGTTATGTTGGGTAATTGCAGTTGCAAAGACTGTCCGTCAGCCGCCTGGACCACAGCTGTTACAGTCGCATGCTTCCCATGTTGTATCCGACTATAGGAAATCTGGGCACGTGCAGAGGATCGCCACCCATTACCTGCTCGCCCTTTGCCGTGAAGGTGAAGGTCCGTGACATGGTGAGACGTGGACAAAAGGACCACGCGGTTCGGTCACGGGAATAGTTTACACGGGCTAGTTCCAAATGCAAGCACGGCTCAGCTCCCGCCGGGCCTTCCCAGCCTCCGGCGTCGAGCGGGGAGAATGGCCACAACAGTTCGCACTGTGGAGTGCAAGAATGAGTGTCTGTCATGTCAATGGAGACACCTTAAATCCATCAATGGGCCATGATTCGGCTCCTGTTTCCCTCTTCATGTCGTCCTCTACCGTTCCCTGGCGAAGCGCATCTCTAACGGCTGACCTCGCTTCGCAGCTGCCCTGGTCGAAGCAGTGGCTTAAGGACGAGGCGGCCAAGGGGAACCTCCTGCCGGAGCTGAGCGGCGTCAACAGTTCGGCCGCCTACAACTTCGGCGTCAACGTCGAGCAGGGCGCCTTCAGCTCGGCGGTGACGTCGCCATCGGACGCGCTCTACGATAGCATCGGCATGGGCCAGCCGCAGGCGTCCGTCTACTCGCAGAGCCTCACCGCCTCGCTAGGTCTGTGGACGCCGCGCCAGAGCGTTTCGTCGTCGGGGCTTATTCCGACATTGTCATGGCACGCGTTGGCTGCGAGAGGTCTGAGACGTGCATCCTGGTCGCTCTTACAAACATGGCTTTCAAAATGTATTGTATAGGATGCAGCTTAAAACAAGCAACCAGAGCTGCACTTAACACAAACAGATGTTGTTTTTTATATGCTGCTGCTGGTTTATAAAATGATTTGGGTTCATATCACTTTTCAAGCATTTCATTCACGCGGATTCAATTCAGGGGCGGTGGTGATGAGGTGGTTATGGTGCTCCATTCTGGACTTGCCGGTTCTGGGTTCGAGTCCCTGCAGTACCACTACCGCATCGCGCAAGAAAAAAATGACAAGTAATCAGTGAAATAAAAAAAAACTGAAATGACACAATCACTCACTAAAGCGTAAATCAACCGTAACTTTCATTAGGTTCGAAATTAGGCCTCATGTTTCTGCCCTGCATGCCTCAATAGATTCCGTGTGGTCTTCCACCCCGTGCTGGGCGGCGGATGGAGCGCACGTGCCGCGTGCTGACCCGACCGGCGCCTTTCCTCAGGTACGCCGGCCGGCCTCACGCCGCTGGCTCCCATCTCCATGGTGGACAGCAAATCCTCGCCCGGCGCAACGGCGCCACTCATCGACACCTCTGGACAGTACCAGCAAGGTGGGTCACCGTTAGATTTCGCTGGTGTTGTGTAATGCCACTAGATGTCACCGGTGTCGCACGCATGCTTTGCACTGTGCACGACTACCACGCACGGATGACGCCACTGAAAACAGTCTTAGGACCGCAAGTGAAAATTGGAACGTAAACTTGCGCCGAAAAACGGTTTTGTTTTATAGTTCATATTTGGCCTCTATCAACCCAACTAAAAAGCTGTTTCATGCTGAGATTCCAGTTGTCTTCAGTCTGCTGAAAACAATTTTTGAGCATTGGACAAAGTTTGGTTGCCATTTGAACGGCATGCTAGCACTGAGAGGGGCTTTGATCTCTATGAAAATTGGACTCCTGGTCACCCCTGCGTGGAAGTTGCAGGATGCACTGCTGTACAGCTTTGGTTTTTCTCAGTTTTGTTTAGTTAGTGCATGGTGTGCAATGTGCAAAACTAGGCTGCAACACTCGTAGCTACCATTGGATTTGCTTACGCAACGTAGCACCCACTCGCACCTACGCAATGTTTGATGCTTGAAAGCCCTGCTCCCCAAGCCACAGCCGTCGCATCGCGACGGCGCTCCGTAGCACCCCATAGCACTGCATAGCACCGCTTGGCACCACCGCGCCACGCAGCCTGCGCCGGCACACCCTGAAAGCATCGTTTCTCCGCGCGCCGACAGGTGGCAGCACGTACAGTTACTCCCCGCTGGCTCCGCTGGACGTGAGCGGCGCGCTCCTCTCCTCCTCGGTGACCTCCCTGACCCCACCAGTGTCGGCCGAGCCGCAGCCGCCGGCCACGCCGCAGCGCTCTCCAGGCCCGCCGCCCCCGGGCAGCCTGACCGTCCTGCAGCCCATCGTCTCCTCCTCCGCCGCCGCTGGTTACCTGGGCGGCTACCAACCGGTGCAGCTGAGCTTCGGCGACTCGCCGTACTCGCTGTCGCCGTCGGACGGCCGGCCGGCGGCTCCCAGTCCCAGTCCCTCACAGACCTACGGCGAGCTCTGCGCGCCGGCGCAGATCAGTCCGCCCGACTGCGCCGCGCAAGCGCTGCTGCACGACTGCGCGGCGCAAGCACAGGCCGACTGTCGGTTGCGCAGCCCTTACGAGCCATCCAAGTCCCTGGTCCAGCTTTCGCCCGCCCTCTCCCCCGACGTGCGGCTGTATGACGACAGACTTGCGACGCACGGCAAGGAGCCGTCACAGCCAGGTGGGTGGGTGACGCCATAGTGACGTCACGCGATGAGGAGGCTGTCGCTAGCGCTGCACGGCCGTCGGGTGACGCATGAGCTATGTTTGTGTGTGGGGGCGGGCGTCGAGAGCTACGACGGACGGGCGCTGCGGTGTGAGAAGCCTGAGCCTGAGCTCACGGGTCAGCCCGGTCGAGCAGTGTCAGAAGTACAGGTCAAGTGAAGGCGCTTTAACATTCATCGGCGTCGTGTCATTCGCCATCACTGAGAACACAAGTCACCAAGCCTACTGCTCGCCTCTGTCTCTTCTTTTCAGATTTATCAAGCCCACGAGAATAATAATCTGAAATTTACTCGAACATTTCACACGTGATCTTTCCCAAAATTGCACCAAAGGCTGCTTGGAGACCTCGAGTAGCAGGGCATTCCTGACTGTGTCCGGGAGTCATTGTTGTGTTGGCCAGCGCCCCGGCCGACTGGGTCTGAGCGACATTGCCGTGCTGCCCAGCGCCCTGGCTGACTGGGTCTGGGCGACATTGCCGTGCTGGCCAGCGCCGCGGCCGACTGGGTCTGGGCGACATTGCCGTGCTGGCCAGCGCCCCGGCCGACTGGGTCTGGGCGACATTGCCGTGCTGCCCAGCGCCCTGGCTGACTGGGTCTGGGCGACATTGCCGTGCTGCCCAGCGCCCTGGCTGACTGGGTCTGGGCGACATTGCCGTGCTGCCCAGCGCCCTGGCTGACTGGGTCTGGGCGACATTGCCGTGCTGCCTAGCGCCCTGGCTGACTGGGTCTGGGCGACATTGCCGTGCTGGCCAGCGCCCTGGCTGACTGTGTCTCAGCGACAATGCCGTGCTGGCCAGCGCCCTGGCTGCCAACGACGCCGCTGACGCCTCATTCTCTGCTGGCAGGCTCTGTCCAGATGGCAGACTACGGCTCCTACTCGTACCCCCAGTACGCCGGCTACGGGTACAACTACAGCTCAACGGGCGGTCTGCTGAGTAAGTGATGTAAGTAGTCGGCCTTCTCTTTGTTTCGTTCCGTTGGCGGTCGTTTTATGGAGAAAAAGTGCGTAAGTTTTTCAGTGAAGTAGGAAGTTCCGTTTTATCATAGGTTGATGTGTGTGCATGAGTCGGATATTTGTTTTTTTGTAATTTTGTTAGTTAACTGTTTTGTTAGTTTTTGTGGGCATGATCGTGTTTGTGAGATGTCTGCGCTTCCATTTTGATGCTAGTCACTGATGATATTGGATATTTACGCTAAGGCCCAAATGAGGAACACCTAGTTTACTGCATAACGGATTCTTTGTAGCTTTTGCAGAATAGATTAAAAGAGGGCTTCGAAATGATTCGCAAGTATGTGCATTAGGGTGTATCGTAGATCCCTTCGTGGACATAAGTTATAAAGTTATATCTTTAATGTGCTGCGCACGAATATCGATTTATATATATGTATATATATATAGAGAGAGAGAGAGAGAGAGAGCAGAGAGAGAGAGAGAGAGAGAGAGAGGAGAGAGAGAGAGAGAGAGGAGAGAGAGAGAGAGAGAGAGAGAGAGAAGAGAGAGAGAGAGAGAGAGAGAGAGGAAAAAGAGAGAAGAGAGAGAGAGAAGAGAGAGAAGAGAGAGAGAGAGAGAGAAGAAGAGAGAAGAGAGGAGAGAGAGAGAGAGAGAGAGAGAGAGAGAGAGAGAGAGAGAGAGAGAGAGAGAGAGAGAGAGAGAGACTCTCTCTCTCGCTCTCTCTCTCTCTCTCTCTCTCTCTCTCTCTCTCTTCTCTCTCTCTCTCTCTCTCTCTCGCTCTCTCTTTTGCTCTCTCTCGCTCTCTCTATCTCTCTCTCTCGCTCTCTCTCTCCTCTCTCTCTCCTCCTCTCTCTCTCTCTCTCTCCTCTCTCTCTCATCTCTCTCTCTCAAGCCTTTCTCCAGAGAGAGAGACGGCCTTAGTTGCACCCCCCCCCCTTGATGCCACGACAGCAGTCACTTTCATTAAGGCAGTTCCTCGACCTCTTGATTCAGCACGAATTATTATGAAGACACATGAGTGTAAAGTAAAACGGTAGCCTTTGTGAATATATATATATATATATATATATATATATATATATATATATATAGTTAAAATTTTCGAATTATGTCCTTGGCAGAAGTCAAAACGCACCAAATCACGCATCGAAAATTAGTTCATGTTTCATTAGATTTGTATTGTTAATCAGTACAACAATACAACGTGCATGCTTTACTTTTATATCAAAGTTTATGGATCAATGCGTTTGAACTACGAATTGTACATAAGCTTTCACGACGAAAAATAAGGTGCCCCTTTGCTGCAACAAACCTAAAACCAAAATTTATACTGAACCCAAATTAATATTTCTGAGATAGAAAACTTCTACCAGTGAAGTATACGGCGACGCACACCATTGCGTTGCACATCGTTCCAGGTCTGTGGCACCTCAACCAGCTAAGCACACGGCAGCTTTGATGACACAATGCAGACAGGCGCCATCACCTCCGTTTTTTTCAGCTCCCCCGTACTCTGCACTCGGAAGCTGCCGAAACCAGTCATCTGCGGGGCCGGGCTCTGGCGGCGGCCGCACGAACCAGCAGTCTGGCATGTCGTTCAGCGGCGGCGCTGCCAAGCCGGAGCGCAAACACTAGCGGCCACAGTGGACGGCCAGCACCGGCTCGCTCGTCAGCTTCCGCCGCCCGCCGCCGGATATGCCCCGATCTCAGCACGTTCATAGACCGGATCGGAGAGATTCGGAGAGCATATTGCTATTATCGACAGACGCGCTGTACACCAAAGATATTTAACGGAGCTGAGCTGACGACAAATGATGCTGTACATAACCTGTTGCGTAGAACATGTACATAGTTCATGCATGCATGCGTAGTGTTGAGCTTGAGGCATGATTGTGAGGAACTTTGGTCTCGGAACAGAAAACCAGCGGCGGAAGCGAGGGTCCTACAGGGCGACAAGGCCTTTTTGGTGATTCCTCGTTCGGTGGAGTTGGCGTCACAGAACGGTCCTCTGGGTGCAGTCTCGTGGTAGTTTGGGGACTCAGTCCCGCCCCAGAGCACTGGCGTTGTTTTAGTTTCACGTGAGCTTTTCCATCGGCCGGCTGCTGCGGGTGGAGCAGGCAGCGGTGGCGTTAATCAGCACTGGTTTACTGGCACTGGTTTGGACACGATTTCTGACCGCAGCGTGAGAAACAGCAATGACATGTCTATTCAAATCCGCATTGCTTTATAATGTTCAGATGGTGATGCACTATTTTATATGCAGCATCCACTATTGTCTCATTTGTAGAATCCCATTTTTCGACAATCTCAAGCGTTTTCAAAACCATTTTTCCAACCATTGTCAGATTGTATGTCCTAATTTTGACGTTCGGCGAGGTGTTCTGTGTTTAGGTATTTGCATCGTGAGTTTCATGTTTTTTTGCCCAATTGAACGTTACCCACGTTATCCGCGTTTGCTTTTCTCGTTGTTTTTGTGAGTCACCTTTTGTGCGTTTTTATTTATTCCGCATTTTTATGTTCGTTGTGCAATGAGCCGTTTGTATATACCCTGAAGCGTGATTAGATTTTTGTCCGCTGTTCTCAAGGCGCACGCGCCACTCAACGACGCAGATTTCAGTTGCGGTAGTCGTGTGGCGAGGTGCGAAGACGATGCTTGTATCAGTGTTACATAGTGTGTCTTCCAGAATTGGTGTGTATTTATCATATAGATGCGGTGATGAATAAACTGGCAATACGAAACAGTGTTGTTCCTTTTTGGAGAAGCTGACAAACATTTTATGCCATGATATATATGAGGAAAACAAATTCCTTGTGAGTTACTGCAGGTAAAAGTAGCGCGCTGGTCCCAGTTGTATTCCACGAACCCATTTGAATATTCAGCAAGGCTCTGAGATATAAAAATGAATATACATCTCGCTACCATCCTACGCCATGGCGCGCTCACTTCCAAGAGAAGCAGTCATCTGCCGTCCCACCAACAAAACACACACGATTATTCACCTGCATACGTAGCTATCGTCCCTGACCAGAACTTAAAGATCTCCCAAATGGTACAAGGGCAATTCCCGCAGCACAAAGCCACTACACGGCTAACGCCGCCGGTCGTCAGGGTAGCCCCCACTTCAGCTATGGCCGGCCGCACCTGGTCCGCTTTCACTGCTTGCTAACGCCGCCCTTACTTCAGCTACGGCCGGCCGCACCTGGTCCGCCTTCACTGCTTGCTAACGCCGCCCTTACTTCAGCTACGGCCGGCCGCACCTGGTCCGCCTTCACTGCTTGCTAACGCCGCCCTTACTTCAGCTACGGCCGGCCGCACCTGGTCCGCCTTCACTGCTTGCTAACGCCGCCCTTACTTCAGCTATGGCCGGCCGCACCTGGTCCGCCCTCACTGCTTGCCACGCCGGGCGGTGGACACGGCGGCAGCGGGTTGGCAGCTGCGCAGCGCAGGCGCCGCCCCCGCTCCCGCCCCAGACTGGCGACGCACAGACGCACGCCCATGGTCCTACGGCCAGTGCACAGCTCTAGAACTTGACGCAGACCGTCTTCCAGTGCGTGTAGAATTCAACGCTATCTCTGGTGGACTCAAAGCCCATGCCGGACTCCTTGATGCCGCCGAAAGGCATGTCCAGGTTCCGCACCAGCCAGCAGTTGTTCCACACGGTGCCCACCTGCAGCGGACAGCACCCGGTCACCACGACGACCTCACAACGAGGATGCAACCAGACGGCACCAGGACACCACCAGGCTGCACCAGGACACTACCAGACTGCACCAGGTCACCATCAGACGGCACCAGGATACTACCACATGGCACCAGGACATTACCAGCCTGCACCAGGTCGCTACTAGACAGCATCAGGACACTAGCAGACGGCACTAGGTTACCACCAGACGGCACCAAGACACTACCACACGGCACCAGGTCATTAATAACCTGCACCAGGTCGTCATTACCCGACGGCATCAGGTCACTACCAGCCTGCACCAGGCTAACACCGGACGGCACCAGGACACTACCACACGCCGCCGGGTCATTACTAGCCAGCACCGGGTCGCTACCAGACGGCACCAGGTCATTACCAGCCTGCACCAGGTCACTACCAGACGGCACCAGGACATCATCAGGCGGCACCATGTCACTACTAGACGGCACCAGGTCACTGTCAGACGACTCCAGCTCATCACCAGAAGGCATTAATAGTTCCATTGCCTCGACTCCATAACCCACTTCTGAGAGGAGAGATATTCTTTTCAAGTAAGAGGGATCTTTGGGTCCATGCCCCCTGGAGATTGCAGGAAACTCAGCAATTTGGGGGGGGGGGGTAAAAATGTCCATGAGCTTTAAAAAACGCAAAAGCAGGCCCCAAGGCATCAAAAGAGGGCCCAGAGCCTCCTAAAAAGGTCTTGCGAATAAAGAAATAGACCCTAAGCGACGGAAATATTAAGAAACGGGCGTATTCCAGCAAAAACAGTCTCCCTTTGGCGGGAAGACCTCCCAATCACCCGATTTCACCCCTCCTGGGCGAAACTCTGGCTACGCCATTGTTCACACCGTGGTATGGTGAACAGGTTTCGACTCCACACAGAGAGTACTCGGTGCATGAGAGTAGTTATCTGCAGCTGTTCAGACACCCGGTGTATGGTTGACAGGTCTCCGCTCCACACGAAAGAGTGGTTACCTGCGGCTGTTCAGACACCCAGTGCATGGTTGACAGGTCTCCGCTCCCCACGGAAGAGTGGTTACCTGCAGCTGTTCAGACACCTGGTGTATGGTGGACAAGTCCCGGCTCCACACGGAAGAGTAGTTACCTGCAGCTGTTCAGACACCCGGTGTATGGTGGACAGCTCCCGGCTCCACACGGAAGAGTAGTTACCTGCAGCTGTTCAGACACCTGGTTTATTGTGGACAAGTCCCGGCTCCACACGGAAGAGTAGTTACCTGCAGCTGTTCAGACACCCGGTGTATGGTGGACAAGTCCCGGCTCCACACGGAAGCACACAGACCGTACTCGGCGCTGTTAACCCGCTCCACCACTTCCTCCTCAGAGCTGTCGGGTCACCAAACACCAGTCAGCCATACACACAACACAATCTAAATCAGCTGATTGGTTATGACCTTAAATAAGCGGCACTATCTTACTCTTGCTGGGAGCACTTAGCCGAGCTTCCGCTGCAGCTGATGCAAAGGCAAAGGAAAATCGAAAAGGAACCAATATAGAGCTGCACAGGGCCGTAGGAATGAGGTCTGACTGCAGGAACACAGCTTGACAATGAGGTTTGACTGCAGGAACACAGCTTGACAATGAGGTTTGACGGCAGGAACACAGCTTGACAATGAGGTATGGCGGCAGAAACACAGCTTGACAATGAGGTATGGCGGCAGAAACACAGCTTGACAATGAGGTATGACGGCAGAAACACAGCTTGGCAATGAGGTATGACGGCAGGAACACGGCTTAACAACGAGGTATGACGGCAGGAACACAGCTTGACATTGAGGTCCGCAAAGCACATGTCCTGAGACGCTTTTACCGACTTCAGGCTTGTTAGACATCTTTCTTGGTGTTCTGGGCTTCCTTTTGGGGCCGGCACAAACACAGAAGAATTCTGGCATCCCAATGAAACCGGAATGTTCGACCAGGTCCCACGGTACAATCAGGGAGACCTCGCTTCGATCAGGTCCCACGGTACAGTCAGGGAGACCTCGCTTTGGCTAGGTCCCACGGTACAGTCAGGGAGACCTCGCTTCGGACAGGTCCTACGGTACAGTCAGGGAGACCTCGCTTCGGCCCGGTCCCACGGTACATTCAGGGAGACCTCGCTTCGGCCAGATCCCACGGTGCAGTCAGGGAGACCTCGCTTCGGCCGGGTCACATGGTACAGTCAGGGAGACCTCGCTTCGGCCGGGTCATACGGTACATCCAGAGAGATCTCGCTTCGGCCAGGTCCCACGGTACAGTCAGGGAGACCTCGCTTCGGCCAGGTCCCACGGTACAGAAAGGGAGACCTCGCTTCGGCCAGGTCCCACGGCACAGTCAGGGGGGCCTCGCTTCGGCCAGGCCCCACGGTGCGGTCAGGGAGACCTCGCTTCGGCCAGGTCCCACGGTACAGTCAGGGAGACCTCGCATCGGACAGGTCACACGGTACAGTCAAGGAGACCTCGCTTCGGCCAGATCCCACGGTGCAGTCAGGGAGACCTCGCTTCGGCCAGGTCACATGGTACAGTCAGGGAGACCTCGCTTCGGCCAGGTCACACGGTACATCCAGAGAGATCTCGCTTCGGCCAGGTCCCACGGTACAGTCAGGGAGACCTCGCTTCGGCCAGGTCCCACGGTACAGTCAGGGAGACCTCGCTTCGGCCAGGTCCCACGGCACAGTCAGGGGGGCCTCGCTTCGGCCAGGCCCCACGGTGCGGTCAGGGAGACCTCGCCTCGGCCAGGTCCCACGGTACAGTCAGGGAGACCTCGCATCGGACAGGTCACACGGTACAGTCAGGGAGACCTCGCTTTGGCCAGGTCCCATGGTACAGTCAGGGAGACCTCGCTTCGGCCAGGTCCCATGGTACAGTCAGGGAGACCTCGCTTCGGCCAGGTCCCATGGTACAGTCAGGGAGACCTCGCTTCGGCCAGGTTCCACGGTACAGTCAGGGAGACCTCGCTTTGGCCAGGTCCCATGGTACAGTCAGGGAAACCTCGCTTCGGCCAGGTCCCACGGTACAGTCAGGGGGCCTCGCTTCCGCCAGGTCCCACGGTAGAGTCAGGGGGACCTCGCTTCGAGGGTTCGCCACGTTTGGCTGGCCTGCTCCGGAGGGAGAGGCTGCGGGGCCCAACAGGACAGGTGGAGTGGATTGCAGCGCTGGCTGCTGTCCCCGTAGTCTCGGGGAATAAGGCTGCGACTCGTGATCCAGCGGCACTGGGACCGGTCCCAGCGCGAGCGCACTGTTTGACCCGGAGAAGGTCAGCTGAAGGTCACTGACGGGAGGACCTCGGCTGACCTCTGGCCAAAGATGGCCCGGGCGTGAGTCTCGGCCAGGGGCCGCACCGCAGCACCGCACGGCGCGTAAAATCCCTTGTAGTCCTGCCTGATAAGGCTAGGGGGCAAAGGTCTGGTACGGTAAGGTCTGGTCTGATAAAGTCAGGTCTAGCACGGTCTGGGCTGGTAAGATCTAGTCTGATAAGGTCTTACCTGGTGAGGTCTGGCCTGTTAAGGAAGGCCTGGTAAGGCCTGACCTGGTCTAGTCTTGTTGGTCTCGTTTGGAAAGGTCTGTTCTGGTAAGGTCTGGTCTGGTAAGGTCTAGTCTGATAAGGTGTTATCTGGTAAGGTCTGGTCTGTTAAAGTATGGCCTGGTAAGGCCTGACCTGGTCTAGTCTTGTTGGTCTGGTTTGGTAAGGTCTGTTCTGGTAAGATCTGGTCTGGTAAGGTCCGTTCCGGTAAGGTCTATTCTGGTAAGCTCTAGTCCGGTAAAGTCTGGTCTGGTAAGGTCTGGTCTGGTAAGGTCTGATCTGGTAAGGTCCGTTCTGGTAAGGTCTGGCCTGGTAAGGTCTGGTCAGGTTAAGTCTGTCTGGCAAAATGAAGGTCTGAGGCGAAATTATCCGGCGGATTTAACTGGACTAACTTTTTGGTAAGTTCAGGACGAAACATGTACAACAAGATGCAAGCGAGATGAAAGGCTATGAGCTCTTGGTTCTTCGACGTTACGAGTTTGGACTTTTGTAACTTGTATCAATAATCGAGCCACAGTATACCAGGAAGCACTTGTCAAACGACGTTAGCATACACTGGTCACGTTACATGGTCTATACTCAAGTGTCTTTATTCACAAGGTTTGTTTTGTTGAGCTCCGCTCACTCGTGACGATGAGCACAGCTTGAAGCGTCGAGTTTTTACATTACAGCCAATGCTTGATTGATCATGTTGTTTGACATGTACCTTCTGGAAGGTTCTTATTGCCAGCATAATAACTCCGAATTCGTGTGGCAAAACGAGTTCGGCATAGCCAGCACTCTGAGCCCACAGCGGTTCATACAGACAATTCGAGGTAGTTTTAAAAAATGACGGAGCCCAGACAGAGAAAAGGCAGCACAGCAAGACACAAACACATTTCAAATCAGACAAATCATCTGCCGCCGGCGGTGAACGCCGTAACTAGAGTCTCCCGCCGGCTACAAACGCCGTAACTGGTGTCTCCCGCCGGCGATAAACGCCATAACTAGTGCCTTCCACCGGCTACAAACGCCGTAACTAGTGTCTCCCGCCGGCGGTAAACACCGTAGCCAGTGCCTCCCGCCGGTGGTAAACGCCGTAATCATTGTCTCCCGCCAGCGGTAAATGTCCGGAAGCACTGGAGGATGAGTGTTCCTTACTCGAACGGCACGACACAGGTGACTGGGCCGAAGATCTCCTCGCGCATGCAGCGTGAATCGTCTTTTAGGTCGGTGATCACCGTGGGCTGCACGAAATAGCCCTGTAACAGAGGCAGAGACATCTCGCGGTAAACTAAGGTAGCTTAAGTTTGCGTGCCATCACATTCCAACAACAGCGAGCAACATAGACTTGTGCATGTGCGCGAAGAAGGAACACGTGGTGTGTACGGATATCGCAGGCAAGCAATGGGTTGGGACTGTCGGCTACGACTTAATGGGATGTTAAGTGGCAACATGTTTCTGAAATAGTTCGTGACGCCCACATAGTTTGCCAGAGCATAGGCGTAGGAACCTTCCAAAAAGTGTGGGGAGGGGGGGGGGGGCAACCTCAGGACGCACTTCAGAAGCTTTTTCTGGAAAACAAGCCCGATGACGGCGGGGGAGGAGGTAGAGATGGAGGTTATCGCTGTTTATTCAAGGGCAATGACTGATATTTTCTATATATGCATCTAGAGCTGTTTCTCACTGGTGCACACTCTCGCCTATCCGACGCATCAATGTCATTCGGCAAATAACACTATCCAGCTTCCCGAGATTATTCGTCCATTTCAACATCGTCTTTCCTAGGGACGCGAAATTCCACGAGGGGGTAGGCATCTTGGGCCATTGAGGAGGCATTTGTCTACAAAGGGTAGATGCCAAAGTATGGCCTCAGTAAAGGCAGGTGGGGATTTTGAATGTGAATCGATGGCTCACAGTACAACAGATTTTGCGTTCGCCTTCATTTCGCTGGCTGCTTTTCGAGAGATAAGACTTGTCGCGGCAGTTTAGGTGGAAACGAATTCGGAAGCTTGAAACTGCCAAAAACCAGGTGACAAAGCCAATAAGACTGGAGATTCTCCCTGGAGACCTAAGCCACAGAATGAAGATCCTTCTGTCATATATTCCTCGTCTGAGCTCTGCTCCGACCGCCTTCGGTGGCCACTGTCCTGGCCCGGCTGTCTCCGAATGACTGACCGCGGAATGATGGCATGAGTGCTTTGTTGCACGTTTCTGGATCAGCGTTGCTACCAATTGGGATGCAAAACATGTGCTGGACACCTGCAACAGTACCTTTTTACCGCATATCTTCCCTTATACCATACCACCCCCAGAAAAATGGCTCCGGGAGGCTGCCTACCTTAGGTATGAACTGGCCCAACGGACATTTAATTGCCCGCCACTCAACGTGGATGACTTGGTCTGCTTTTGCGCTTAGGCAGGGGGTAGCCAGAGTCTTGCTAAGAGGAACGTAGGGTTGACAAAAGCCCCTCTTATGGTGATCCCCCCTCCCCAAAAAATCCTGATATAGTTTTCTTGTTACCAAGGGATACGGTTTTCTTTATTTCATTGCAATTTTTGCGTTGTAACCAGAGCAGAAACCAGATGCTACCGTAAGATCAATTCTGCTTACAATTTTAAGGTCGATGAACCATAGAAATAAGGCGTTTAACGACCGTATGGAATAAATCGCAGGTGTCTTTAATTTACAATGGTTTAGTGAACTCTTTCTAAACCGACAGAATTCAGAAGCTTTTCCATGTTTTATCTGCGTTCTACAGACAATGAGGGCATCGCAAAGATGGACTGTAGATAGGCGTGTTTGATCGAAATTTGAGGCTGAAAATTTTGATCACAGATCGAGGGGTCAGCAAAATGCATTTACACCGCCAAGCCATGTTTGGCCGGAAATTTTAAGCATTCGGTTAGAATCAATAAGTGATACAATTATATAACGTGATTTTTAACATGGGCGTTTGCAAATCCTATCAACAAAAACCTCGACGCCAGGCGTTGCAGTCTCCGTAGTCAAAACGGACTATGGAGACTGCAAGTACTTAATTTTTCGCCGTGGGCCAGCGAAAATGATAACTGTTCTGAAATCATTACCTTTAAACACTTGAATGTATTAGTAGTAAAAGCTACGTGGCATAATTTTGAGCATGCGTACTCGCAAAACTTGTTTTAAAAAAACCACGACGCTAGGCATTGCAGTCTCCATAGCCCGCGCATCGTCGGCCCAGCAGATAATAGGGAGCCATGGCCAGCAGCTGAACGAAAATGATGACGCTTCTGAAAGCAGTACTTTTGAACGCTTCAGGATATCAAATCTTACATCTACAATGCAGTCTGGGTGCATATTTCACGTGTGCAATTTTTGCATTGGTGGTAAGAACGGATTGGTCCTTAAAGCACCGCGAAGTGGTGCTGGAATCTGGTGGTGGAACTGAAAGAGTAAAGGTAGATTCTCTATTGTTCGTGTTTCTGTAACTACTAGTCCATCTAGAAGACAGATTAACGTGGCGCCCGCCGTCTGGTGACACTTGCAGTGGCCAACGCCGTTCGGTTTTACGGAAGCTACAACACAGGCCATCGCTGTCCTTGCTCTCGAGGCTGCGGGCGGGCATGTTCAAACCTTTCGATGCATTTTTTCACTAATCCATCCTGGAAAAGGAACGTTTTCAGGCAAACATGGGATGGCCCTGTTCGTTTTTTTTTACCCCCACTCTACTCAACAATAATGGGACCCCATATTTCCCTCCGGGCAAGGGGTCCATTGAGTAGGACACCAGAGGCACATTACCGGTTCCGGTCAAGGGCTGATAGGTCACTCCGGCCCACCGCGAAGTGTCTTTTGACTGTCATTCTAGCGACCTGGTCGATCCGGAGGCCGTTGCAAGGACATAACATATCGCATTGTTCCCCTCCCTCACGCGAGAGCCCTCTGACCCGCGCAGTTGCCCATAGATCAGCACAGGAACCCTCATTGACGCAGCAACATCGCTGATCGCCACACGTGGTCCAATAATTGTCACATATGCTCCAGTTCCGTGTTTTTCTGAGTTCCTCAGAGACACTGAGGAATCCCTGAACGTAGACTGTAGATGAAATGGGGTCCTAAGCTTGTATTAACATGGCTAATCCATGTTCGTCTTAAAATCCTCAAGATTCAGTCCGAATTAATTATTGATAAAAACTATGTGATATGGTTTTCAACATACGCGCTCGCAGGTCATAGCAACAATAGCCTGGATGTCCGGCGTTGCGTTTTCCATAGGCCGCGCGGCGTCGGCCTGTGGCTGTGACACTAAGCGATGGCCAATAAGCAAACGAAAAAGATGACGCATATTGAGGAAGATGGCTGGTGAACTGGGTAAATCGGCATGCACATTTAAGTGTGTTGGAAAAGTAAGCTAAACGCAACCTCAACCTGAAAAGTGGGGGGCCAGTTAACACTGTTGCCCCCCAACGTTGAAAAGTGGAGAGGGGCTATGGCCCCCTGCCCCCCCCCCCCCCCCTATGCCTACGCCCATGTGCCAGAGTACTGACGCTGCTCCCGATTTACTTTTTCTCATGAGTCCAAATGCCTTGCACCAGCGCATCCGCTAGTATGTGTATATGTGCAATGGGAGCATACGCCCCCTATAAAATCAACTTGTTTCATCTTAAACACCATCTGTCATCTGCCCGCGCCGAGCCCTGAACGACGACGGTTCGTCCCTCCCCCCCCCCCCAAGTTGTTCTATACAAACCACCCGTGCCGTACCACCCCCGTCTCCCCGCGCCGCGATCCCTACAGCAGCGTGCCTGCCCGGCCGCCCTGTCGCTGACCTGCTTATTAGCCTGGGGCAGCTGTAAGGCGGGGTCGACCCCTTCGCCACAGAGCAGGGTGCCGCCCTCGTCGCGCGCCAGCTGAAGGTAACGGCGCACCTTCTCCAGCTGTGCTCGGTTGTTCAGCGGCCCCATGAACACGCCCTCTTGGTCGGGCGGCCCGACCCGCTTTGACCTGAGGTCACCGGTGCATGCGTCAGGCTGCGCCGCACCGAGGCGTGACGTCATATGATCGGATCGGGCTGGAGGGATGGCCACGGAAGCTCGGGTCTCATCGCAGCTCTCTCTCCAATAGCAGCGACGGCTGCGATAAAAATGAGCTCGAGGAACCTGTAAGGGAATCGTATAATATTCAGGGTGGCTGTTCCATGGGTCCTGTCATGCAACACAAAACAGCAAAAGTGAGACGGTCGAAATCCTGTCAGACTTTGGGGCTGTGCGGACTAAGTTCTGAGTGTTCTAGCACTAAGATTGGCAGACCAGGTGATGACGAAGCATGTCTGTGCTCGTGATATGCGTCGATTCAAGAATCACTGATGTGAATGATATCAAATTTATACGAGAGGACCTTCCGTCAGTTGTCAAGTGCATTTGTGAGGAGCATTATTGACATAGCTGAGATAGTATCAAAAGCCTTATTTCTCGAAAAAAGGAGAATGGAGATATAGGTGCGTTGATATTTCGCCAATACGCCTTAAAAAACATGACAGAAGTAAATTCACTTTTTCTATTGTTTCGATAAAGGCGTGCTGCCGAAATATCAACGCATCTATATTTCCATGCCCTTGTTTTTTTTTCTCCAAGGGGGCATTCCGTATAGCTCCTACTGTACCACTGAAGCATGACGTACACGCTGTCCTGAAACACGCTGTCCTGAAACACGCTGTCCTGAAACACGCTCTCCTGAAACTGCTCGTGGATTCATATCATGCAATTCACAGCCGCCCCGTGACCAGATTTTCGCGGTCAGTCCCTAAATATAGGCACCACAACGAACAAGCTGCTTTCAAGCAGCTAAGCGCGCGTCCATCACCTACCGGGTCTCCTTCACGAACAGCTGCAGAAACTCGTCGTAGATGGCTTTCTGCACGAAGATGCGCGAGGTGCAGAGGCAGACCTGGCCCGAGTTGACGAAGGCGCCGCGCGTCAGCGTCGGGATCGCCTCCCTCAGGTCTGCATCGGCGAACACCACGGCCGCGTTCTTGCCACCCATCTGTCAACGGCGAACGGTGTGTGGGCACTGCGCTGCACCAGCATCATGAGGGAGGCGAGTCTTCCTGGCAACACGTGGGCGGCATAACTCATTGGCAGTAGGTGAGCGGCATACCTGACCAGCAGGATGTAAGCGACATGCCCTACCGACCGATGTCTGGCCAGCGCACGCCGCCCCACACCGGAGGCACACGCCGCTCCACACCGGAGGCGCACGCCGCCCCACACCGGAGGCGCACGCCGCCCCACACCGGAGACGCACGCTGTCCCACACCGGAGGCGCACGCCGCGCCACACCGGAGGCGCACGCCGCCCCACGCCGGAGGCGCACGCTGTCCCACACCGGAGGCGCACGCCGCCTCACACCGGAGGCGCACGCCGCGCCACACCGGAGGCGCACGCCGCCCCAACACCGGAGGCGCACGCCGCCCCACACCGGATGCGCACGCCGCCCCACACCGGAGGCGTGGCCCGCCCGACGACAGGTGGGGCAGCTCGGTGTCGATTTTTCAAAACAATGTACTGGGTAAGGTGGGGGGGGGGGGGGGGCAGAGTGGTATATACTTAAAGTACACTTTATGTTAAGATATAATGCATATGCATATGTGTATATATATATATATATATATATATATATATATATATATATATATGACCAACACTTGCTATATGCTTCTGGAAGCTTATGTGCTTAGCGCACATGTGGAAGCCTGAGAGGCAGTTCGCATTAGCTTTTTATAAACGCGCCTCCTTTGTAAACCTGAATGGGTGCAGTTGCACCAGTCTCTAGCGTACTGAAAACGGGACACCTGTGCATAATTCACCCCTACGTGTTTAGAGGAATTTTTTAAGTATGTCGTATTGTATGAACAACGATTGAGCGTCTACAATATATGGGGCTATTACAACTCATTTACACCTCAGTTCTCGACACACCAAAGTTGAACCGATAAAACAGACGCATTTCGGTTAATGTACGACAAAACACTGGCACCCTCCACGCATTATTTCAGAACATGGTCCTCAACCTTTGCCCCAAATACATACAGTACGTTAAGGTAGCTACCCTCCCATTGAGCATACCTGGAGTCGCTCGTTAAAAAACATTGCTAGCCTTCTGTACTGCTGGGGCACACTGTTGCAGGCTTTTTTGCCTCTGGAGGGAGAGCGAACCTCGCTCGCTTCAGTTCGAACATGTGGTACCAAACATGGCAAAGGAAACCCCCGTCACGGCGATACCATAAACAACGCAGGCTGGCTGCAAAGGCGCTGCTAGTTGAGTTGGCTCTTCAGTAATGGTGCGATCATACTCATTTGCGCATACTCGGTGCTCAATGAGCCCACTATCACAAGAACGTGGTCATATTCTTGGTAAGGTGGGATGGGGGTGGGTGACACAGATTTGACGAGGAGCCTCCTCCTTGTGAAAGCCCCTCCAGAAAATGTCACCAAATATGGCCACTTGATCTCGATGGGCGCGATTTTTTTTGCTGTGTTTCACCTTTCAGTTGTCTCTAACGGAAACAAAGGCCAGAAGCCATCGAAAGATGCAAATACGCTTGTACTTTGAATTCAGGAAGCCAAAGGAATTGGGTGTTAAATGATTGCATGAATACGGCACCTGCGCCATTCATTCGGCAGTGGATAATTGGAATGTATCTGAGCCGATAGAACGCGAAGGTTGCGCAGCTATTTTTCTGGATCGTACAAAGCTATGTGGACGTAGATGATGGTGAACGCAGACTGCAGATCCAAATGGGATCACACATTTCTTTTCAAATGGCCAACTCATGTTCTTCTGGGAATTTTAACCATTTTTCCAGAATCGATTACTGGAAAAACTACTTTGCAGTTCTGACCATGCGCGCTTACAACCCTTAGAACGACACACCCGACACCTGGTGTCGCAATCTCCAGGCAGTGCGGCGCTGGAACGAGGCTAACACTGGAAGTCGGCCAGCGGGCGAACAAAAACGATAGCGTTTCTGAAAGGAGTGTCTTTAAACGCTGTAGCATGTTAATGTTTACATTTATAATATCATAGGGGCATGTGTCACCTGTACAAATTATACATGTATGAACAGAACGGATAACCATTGGCAGTACGGCGACTTGATCCTGAAGTTTGGTGGTGGTGGGCCACCAGGAAAGGTAGAATTTTTGTTTTCGTGTCGCTGCCGCTGTAAATTCATTCACAGAATAGTCTCAAAATACACGGGTGAAATTTACACCCATCCTAACTTTCAAACGGCGACGGCTGTCCTCGCGCGCCAGGCGCCGCGGCCCGGTGCTAGCTGCAGCGGCTAACGCAACATGACAGCGACGCTCGGTCTGATAAAAACTGCAGCGCCAGCAATTGGTGCTTTCGTTCCTGAACTTACGAGCACGCCCGCTCAAAATATTGGGATTTAATTTGTTTCACGAGTCGACTCATGGCAATATGATGAGAGTCCACAAGTTTCACAAGTTGAGTTTTAGAACAAGGATAGACGTCCTCCTTTCTGTTGGTCTTTTTTCGTTTTTGACCTCATTTTGATCCGCGATATTAAACATTAAGGACACTACTTACCTTTTGTGGGCCAGAGGTCCGCTGGGAGGAGCACAAGGGGGCGCATCATATTACCTTTTGCGGGCCAGAGGTCCGCTGGGAGGAGCACAAGTGGGCGCATCATATTGTCCGGTCATGGAGTTAGGGCCACTCAGCCACAGCGCGGGTGTCCGCCGGCTGTCATGCTAGTGACACAGGGGCGAGGTCCCCCGGTCCATACGAAAGCCCTTAGAGGGATCGATCATCATTGGTGACCTGCCTGACAGAGGTCCCCTGACCTGCGCACTTGGCCCCGAATCGGGGCAGGAGCCCTCATTGGTATAACAAGACTCCTTATCGCCACAGCTGGGAAAAAATAGGGGGCGCAGAGTTCGGCTCATTTTCGGTCTAAATGCATTTTTCGACTCCAGTTCGGCTCGACGGGCCCTTGGCTGGCATTGGGTTGGAGAGGCTCCCATTCGGTACAGGGCGATGACTGAGAGTTCCCTTGTCCTTATGTCTTCTTATTGTCAAAGTGCCCCTACACACGCAAGAGGCCCGCCGGCATTTGGGATTCCTCTCCCTGTTCCTGTAGCAAATTTTTTATGTCTGATTCGGGGCCCCTTGCCGACATATGACCCCCTGCTAGGCACTGTATGTCCCTGACAGACACAGGGGTTCTCATTGTTTCAGCGGTCCCGACCAATGTACATCGCACGTCGCGGCCTTGTCCATGCTGAGAAATGGGTACTCAGTCTTACACCTGAAGCTGGAATAATCTGGTAACACATTTGTCACGTGTCACAATCGTTGAGCCTCCACCACGGCGGTGTGGTTTCTAAAATATGAAAGGGGCTTGAGCGGAGAAAATACAGTCCTAAATGCATTAAGAAACATATTTCTCCCCGGCATTTGACCCACTTTCCTCTCGCCGTTATGGAGTTGGGGAGCTCTCAACGTCCCTCACCCCAACCGAACAGTAAACTACAACCCTGCTCTGATACGCTTCCCTGCTCGGCCTCGGTGGATGATGTTGTTCTTGGCCATCATTCCATTTTGTTTGGCGTCGATTGCCGAAAGAAGGTTTTCGTTAGATTAAATATATAAACAATAGCACGTAATCAATTATTGATGCCACGCTGGTTCAGACGTTGTTGGACGGGTACGGCGTTCACGTATCGGTAGTGAAGAGTGTAGGCTCATGTGCGCAACTATGAAAAGCTGACATGGGAACACCGGCTGGTAGCTGCTAGGCGGGTTGCACGTTAAAACGCGGCACATTCATGATGCACATGTCTGTTGATGACTTGAACTTCATGGAGGTTCGAAAGCATTGGTTAAGCACACATGATTGGCAAGCATTTCTGCGCCCCTACTCTCGTCTTTTCTCAAATGTTGATAAAAGCACGATCACCTTACCTCCAGACAGACTTTCTTCAGCGCAGGGGCACACAATTCGTTGATGTGCTTTCCGACGACGGTCGAGCCGGTGAAAGAGACGAGCTTGACGTCAGGGTGCTTCACTAGCGCCTCTCCCGCCCGCGGACCGAACCCAAATACAATATTGACAACACCAGGCGGCAGGCCAATCTCGTGCAAGACCTGAAAGAAAAGCCTTGGTGAGGTTTTGCCATGATCCAGGGAGGAAGGAAGTGCTGCAAGATAGTCACGTCCACACGCGCCAGGCCTCGAACTGATAACTCGGTGCACATATACATGAAATCCCGGGGTGAAGACCGCAGCTTTGCTCGCTGACGTCCCTTGGAAGGAGGGGGGAAACAGGAATGCCAGCGCTCGCCGGTCATTGCGACGGCGCCATCGTGCACAGTATTGCTGACGCCAAATGTGTGTAGTGTTGCAAACATTCGATGGCATGAGGTGTGACGCGAGAGGCATCTCATCCGCGCAAGGAGTTGAGCTCTGTTGGTTGCAAAATACAATACTTAACCCTTAAACGGAGCAGGCCTATCAAAGATACCTTCTCATGCACTTTTCTTAGAACGGTTAAAAATATCTTACTGTCAGTAAGGAGCTTTCAGCCTAAACAAATACCGGACGCCTAAAGCATGAACACTCCTGTATTTTGTCTACGCCCGCGCACTACGAACCAAAACACCGCGATAACAAAAGTACCACCCGGTGGACAGGCTACCCACAACAATGATCAACCTTGATCGAAAGAGAGCATTCAGCATTACTGATCCATGTTAAGTCTCACTTCAGCAGGTCAGAATAGAGCGTAGGGTCTTTATCCCCTAAATAAAATGCCGGTCTTTAAAACTTGGAAGTGTTCACCTGAATGTGCTGGATTCTTTTTGGTCCACTCCCCTGTGCCAGCTCCAAAGCAGCATGTAAATCCACCAAACTAAACATGTAAACCAGCAAACCCACCTCGGCGAGTTTGAAGGCCGTGAGGGAAGTGAACTCGCTGGGCTTGCAGACCACCGTGTTTCCCGTCATAATTGCTGGGGCGATCTGCAAACACCAACTCAGTCAGGCTGAGACAGACAAACTCAGTCAGGCTGAGACAAACGCATTCAGTCAGGCTGAGACAGACGAACTCGGTCAGGCTGAGACAGACGCACTCAGTCAGGCTGAGACAGACGAACTCGGTCAGGCTGAGACAGACGAACTCAGTCAGGCTGAGACAGACGAATTCAGTCAGGCTGAGACAGACGAATTCAGTCGGGCTGGGGCGGACGCGTTGCCCCAGGCCCATTGTCCAGGACACCAATGAATTTCACTAGGCGGCGCCGAGGGAGCACGATAGGATCACGATAGGAGCACGATAGGAGCACGATGGGCCCCGGTGATCGTGACTGCGATCACGACCGGCAAGGGTTCCGCCGCTGGTGAGGTGGGGAGATCACGACCGGCAAGAGTTTCGCCGCTGGTGAGGTGGGGAGATCACGACCGGCAAGGGTTCCGCCGCTGGTGAGGTGGGGAGATCACGACCGGCAAGAGTTTCGCCGCTGGTGAGGTGGGGAGATCAAGACCGGCAAGAGTTTCGCCGCTGGTGAGGTGGGGAGATCACGACCGGCAAGAGTTTCGCTGCTGGTAAGGTGGGGAGATCACGACCGGCAAGAGTTTCGCCGCTGATGAGGTGGGGAGATTACAACCGGCAAGGGTTCCGCCGCTGGTGAGGTGGGGCGACTACTGTGAAACTGCACAGACACAAATTTAAGAAACATTTAGCCTTTGCCTCAGGAGTACAGTTTCGCAAAATGAGTTGGGGCAGGGGTGGAGGTGAGTAAAAGACTATGGCTGAATCAACTCACAAAATATGCCAAAAGAGGTTTCTATTTGACTTCCAGGTGTTCAACTTTCTGCTCAGAGTTGGAGCGGGGGGGGGGGGGCATATTAACCAAACCAAGCATGAAATTGCACCCGTGCTCCGCCTGTCCCTACTTCCCCCCCCCCCCCCCCCCCCCCAGTTTCCCGTATGTGCTCCCTCGCAGCGTGAGCCGCCCGCAGTCCTACTGCATGACGTTTCGAGGAAAACATTGATCGCGTGTAACAACACACAATAACCGGTTGACGGCGAGTGCTGTCCTTCGAACAAAGCCAAGCGGCATGTAGAATTGTGGCTTAAGTGATGCTGGCGTCAACAGCATTGAACTGTCGGACATTGCATGAAAGTACAACTCCAACAGTAGCGGCTGCATCCACAGGCGAGAATTACAACGGAAGTAAAGCCCAAACAAATAGATGGCCATCAGCTATTCTGATCTAATTTGATCAAACGTGATGATAGGTTTCAACTAAAGTGAACCTCCAATTTTGACCTGAAATGTGATTTGAAAAAACAGACATCAGCCACGCTACCGCAAGTTCTTATTTCATAGAACAATAAAGCAGCTGTTTTCGACCACCGACGGCCGCGTTATTATCGCTGATTACACGAAATGAGTGTTACAACAACAGCTCCTGCCAACAGGAGTGCTACGACATCACTTCTCTTGCCACTGCCTGTGCGCTTCGGTGCCCCGTGACGAAACCCGTACTGCAGAAGTGTGTACCGTCTTTACTTCCATCGCAAAAACTCATATGTAACTATTTATACACAAAGTTAATACTACTGCGAACACCTATTCGCGGCATTAGTGCCAAAGGACAACACTTATGCTCTAAAAACGTAGACACCCATTACTTCCCCTGCAAAAACGCATACAGCCTTTTCTTATATACGACATTATTAAAACAACAGTACTAGCCTTATTCATTGGAGAAAAACCACGAGAATGCAGATGCAGACGCGGCGATATTTCGGCCACATGTCGTTATCGAAACGAAGAGCAGAAGTGAATTAAAAATTGCCTGCCTACTCGATTTAAAAAATCCTCCTCGATTTTTTTTGGAAACAGCAAGCCACAGATTTTACAGGACACCAATGTTTAAGGGATTAAACAAGGAGCAATTGCCAGACACTATTACGATACAGTGCATGTCTAACTGATAACTAGAAGACGCGAATAATATGCGTACATGCAAACAAATTCAAGTAAACAGGCATCACGCATTCTCCTCATTCAAACATGTACGCGAAATGAAGTAAACAGGCATCACATGTCACACATCAATTATACATGCAAGCCATTTTAAGCTGGCACACATCACACATCAAGCCACATATCACACTCGCATAATGGGCCCTGATGAGCCCTGTACGTTAGGGGTTGGTCGCCGACTTTTTATGATAATAAATTTACTTATTTTCCTGTATGGGTGGTTCTGTGCTCTGCAGATAACTTTGAGCTCTAAAAAGGGCGAGGAGTCCATATCTCCATGGACTTCACCCTGAGCGTGATTTACTACAAAATGCCCACCGAGAGGGTTATTCCCTGTTTTGTAACAATGCTCCTCGTAATTGCGCTTTAGAACATACGACGTTATCTCTATTACATATATATATATATATATATATATATATATATATATATATATATATATGTATATATATATATATATGTATATATATATATATATATATATATATATACGCGACATTAGTACTGCACGAGAAAACCTATGCTTGAAAAGCTTATGTCCACCATTGTCTCTACTGCAAATACTTATACATTGCTCACACACACAACATGATTTTCACTGCAAGGACTTATAGGGGACATTAATGCTACACGACAAAACTTAAATTTCAAAAGTATAAGTAGAATTACTTTTACTTCATAAATGCATAGTCTTTATGCATCTCCAACGTTACTTTTACTGCTAATATTTCTCCGGAGTGCAAAATGAGTAAACATCAGGCAGGGATGTACGAACAATTCGTAGGAAAGGAAGGAGCCCCTACCGGGCAATGTTGCATGTAAAATTTTGTGGTATCGACACGAAACACAACTCGTTCATTATGTTATGTTAATTTGTCGATTTGTCGCTGTGTTTGGCGTGTGAGCAAAAGCTGCAATTTCGGTATTGAAATCTCGATGACCGATAAAACGTTTGAAGTGTTAGTTCTGTCATACAACACTATAGCCTCAGGTAAGTCACCGTAGCAGAAGAAATGCCGCGTTTCAGTGTACACCAAGCAAGGGTTGCACTTTCGTATTCAGTCGAGACCCCATCCACCCCTCATACGTGACAGAAAGGTGTGTCACGTTCGGGGCAAACGCCGTGTTTCATCTTTTTTGGAGGGGTTTGGACGTTCTTACCCTGCTTTGCCCCAAACATGTTTTGTAACACGACGTCAATACACCATGTTTTTTTCCATTTGGAAAAACGCCGCTTAGACATATTGTCGTTGTGGGTCTGTCGAACGCGATACTTGCAGCAGCAATAATGTGTGGACACTATGGAATGGCACCTGCAGTCGGATCCCAGCCCAGCCCAGTACTCCCATGTGGTCGTCCCTCAGGAACCTCCGTGAGGCTTCAACCTATGGGTTCGAATGCTGACAGCTGTAAATTGTGGAGTGCCGCCTGAATGTCGCAGCGATTGTGTACCGCATCGTATCGCAGAAATGTCGCGTATAAGCATTGACCGAAGAAGTCATATCTCTGATAAGTAGATGCTATATAGTTTTTGCAGTAGCCATGATGGTAGGCGTAACATTTTTTGGATACACGTTTTTCATTATTTCTCGGGTTTGCTGTGTACCACTGGAACCATGTATAGCCCGCTGCAGTAGAGGTAATATGCATAATTCAAGGCTGATACGTCTTTGCTGTAGAAGTTACGACGAGCGTATGTTTGGGACAAGCAATGTCGCGTATAACCCATGTCGGACCACCTGTGAGTGGGACTTTTTACCGCAGCACCAATGTCGTGTTACCAACCTCGCCTGGTTTGTACCACGTCCTGATCATTCGTCTCTCTGCCGCAGCGTCATTATCTCTGACCTCGGTGGAAGGCGGGGAACGAGTACGACTGGCGCAACCGAACAGACAATGACACTTAATGGAAGTTCTGGCGTGATGTCACGCTTCCGGCTGGAGCTGTGACGTCACCCTCCCGGCCGGAGCTGCAGCGAACGCCAACGCTAGGCTCCTGCTGAACCGGCTACAGACAGCTGGCAATATACTAACTAAGGTACGGTCATTCGCCAACGTTTGCTACTGGGGAGGTCGTTAGTGATCCCTGCGTGGGAAGCAGTGACGGCGCCAGCCGCCTGGGGCAGCTCACGCACTGAAACGGGATATGGCCATCCAGGCAGATGCATGGCTATGGCCTGTGCATGCTTTTTTGTACGCGTTCCAAAGCTCTGCCCAACATTTTTTACACAAGGTCACACGCATCCGCGATACAGCAGATTGGCGGATGCGGGCCTGGCCCTAACCGCTCTGTCGTTTTGTTGTAGACTATGAGCGCAAATGGTGTACGTGCCCTTGCCCTCGTATCATTGGCTCTTTATTGGATGTTTTATCAGGTTGTTTACTTACAGGAAGAATGTGATAGTGACGCAAGCATAACTCGTCATCGTCCGTCAGTTGGGTGGCAGACAGCTCTGAACTTCAGCTCAGTCCACTCAGGCATTCATAGCTCAGTCCACTCAGGCAGTCATTGGATTATAGTTATGCGCACCTAGGGAATCCAGGGCATATTGTTTGTTTGCGTATGCTTACTTGTAAAATCGTGTTATGTCAGGGGTAGTTAGGTCATTCTACGACAAATCGACGGGTCGATTAAAAAAAAAATCATTCCGGTTGGTTTGCATGGGTAACTTCAGGTTCACAACAACTGCTAACCACAGCTTGCGTGAACCCCGAACCCACCACTGCCCCGAACCCACCACCCAGGTCGTGCCGTCCCGATCAACGGATGATTTTGTCTCCGCCCTTTTGCCAGACAGGAATGCGGAGGTTTTTACGCGCCGCGCAATGCTGCAGCACAGCCGCCCGGGCCTCGGTTGACCCTTGTTGGTCAGTTGCCAGCTGACCTTTCCATTTCAGTCGGGTCAAACAACACGCCTACTCCGGGACTCGTGCCCAGTGGCGCTGGATTGCGAGTCAAGCATCCTT